GGTCAAGTCCCTGTGATGCTTACATGGCAGTATGAGTCAGACGTCTTCTAAGGGATTGACCTTTGAGTTAGGTACTTTCAATTATCAGTCCCATTTGCAGGTAGGGAAAATTTAGGCACAGAAAGGTTAAGACCCTGCCCTAGCTTACACACTGGAATGTCACCAGAATTCAAACGCTGGCAGCCTGGCTCTGAACGGGGGCACTGGGCCACCAGGCTCTACTGTCTCCCATGTGTCAGCAACGGTGACTAGCCCTCTTCCGGCCTCAGTTTACTCAACTGTGAAACGAGCTTCCCAATATTCATCTCTTCAGTTTGCTGCAAGGGTTAAATGACATCGGGCTTAGGCCTGGGAGGAGGGTTTTTTAAGTGGGATCTTTTGTTCCTCAGCCCTGCAGGAGGAAGGGAGAAGAGGCCCGGGGCCTCTCTTCAGCATTAAGTTCCTGGTGATCCGTCCAATGCCCCACTGAAAGGAGAGACAAAGCAGGGCAGGGATCCAGACCCTAGGTCCTCCAGAAATCACAGGGCGAGGTGCCCAGGGGCCTGTGTGCCTCTCCCCATCCCTGCTCTCGGCTAGGTGAGGGGCCCTTTGGCTTTACCACGGGCTCCCACCTCCCCACCTCCCCACCTCCCCCGGACCTGACCACATAGCATCCTGGTTGCAACCCCGCCAGAGAAGGAAGTGGAGTCTGGGGTCCCACCGGGAAGTCCCTGGTGGTGTGATGCAAGACCTTCCCGCCACTCTGCCCCGGCAGATAAAGGCACAGGGCCAGCCGCGAGGTGCCAGCTGTCCCCGCGCGATCTGCCTGCCATGGCCCGCCACTGCGCGCTGCTCGTCTGGGCTCTCCTCGCCCTCCTCAGCCTCGGAGCGGCTCGAAAAGACCCGCCGGCCTGCGGCTCCATCGTGCCCCGCCGAGAGTGGAGGGCCCTGGCGTCCGAGTGCACAGAAAAGCTAGCATGGCCGGTGCCCTACGTGGTGGTGTCGCACACTGCGGGCAGCCACTGCGACACCCCGGCTTCGTGCGCGCAGCAGGCCCAGAACGTGCAAAGCTACCACGTACGGAACCTGGGCTGGTGCGACGTGGGCTACAAGTGAGTGAAGACGGGAGCCAAGTCTGGCGCCGGGACTGGGGAGGGAGAGGTTTGCAGGCGCGGGAGACCGCAGGACCCGGCTCTAGAGCCACCTGGCTGACACCCCGGGCCCCTTACTCAACTGCGCAGCATCTTCGTTTCTCCCCAGGGTCTCCACTTAGGGCTGGGCGTGTGCAGGCAGCAAAAAGACGCTAGGAGGAGAAGGGGTGGCAGTTTAAGCTCTGCCCCTCAAAGGAAGGGACAGACTTTGCCACCACACAGGAAGGTGTCCTTTTGGGGAAGTCCCGGGCCGGTTAGGCATGGCCAGGTTCCAGTCCCAGCTCCACTTAACTGCTGGTTGAGCCCTGGGGCAGGCATTCACCCTCTGTTTCAGCTTCATCTTCCTCCTCTCCAAAGTCAATAGGATGGTGGCCCATTCCATCACTAAGCCAGCCAATACAGGCAAAACGCTAAGGACATGACCTTCAGTGGAGTGACAGCCCCCAAATCCCTGGACTCCTGGCACCTGCTACTACGTGCCAGGCTGTGCACCGGGTGCTGGGATGGGAATACAGCTATGAACAGTATGAATCCAACCCAAAGGGATTTAAATAAGACCAGCAGGGAGCAACAGGTGACAGACAAGCTAAGTCAACAAGATGAAGACAGGTGGTGATAGAAGCGACTAGAAAAGGAACAGAGGGACTGGCAGGGCTCCAGCAAAGGGGAGCCCAAGGAAGACTGTAGTGAGCTGGGGGTATGGCAGAGGTAAAGGCCTGAAGGCCGAGTGAGTGGGGCATGTCTGAAAGACAGAGTTCAGGGTGACTGGAAGTAGGTGGGAAGAGTAACATGAAGTGAGGAAGGGCTTGGCAGGGGCCAGATGGCACAGGGTCCTGTGAGCCATGGGGAGGAGCTGATTTCTACTCTGAGTAAAATAGCAGTCATGGGAGGGATATGAGCCTGCTTCTATCTGGCTGCTGGGTAGAGAAAAGACTGTAGGGGGGCCAGAGGGCAGAAACAGGGGTAGAGATGGGTTAGCTCTGCCTCTTGGGGCCCATGCCCACCAGCTCCCTCTCCAAGGTAATAGTCTGGGGTCCTGCACAAGGGTTTCTGCAGCAAGAGAGCTTTGGAATCAGCTGAATGCAGGCTCCCAGGCTCCACCTTTAGACTGCTCCTGTAGGGCTGGGGTGAGGGTGGGAAATCTGAGGGCCTCGCTCAGAGATCTAGATGCCCCCAAGGGGATCCCCAGCTCTTCTGGCTCAAGATTTTACAATTCAAAGCCTCCAACTTCAAAGTTTTGTTTCCAAGGGTCAGGCGCTCTGATTCTAAGTGTTTCCCTTGAAGTAACAAAGACCAGAGCTTGACTCCGCAAAGTAGCTTAAATCACTTTTTAGAAAAGCAAACTGAAATCTGTTTCTCAGATTTTAGGACTCAGAGCCTGATTCAAATGTTTTGAATCCCCATTCCTTGTTGCATCTCCTTTGGAGCCTCAGTTACTTCACCTGTAAAATGGAGCTCCTGACTATACCCACCTGGTGGTGGCGGTTGAGGTTTAAATTAGATGCATCCATTTAACAAGTGTATAGAGAACACCAATGGTTTGTGCCAGGTGCTGGGGCTGTGGCAGGCCTTGACCAGCCTAGGCCTGGGGGCCAGGATCACTGTGGTATTTCTAGCTTCTTCAGTCTAGATTCTAAGAGTTTGGCTTTCCAAGTGGCAGATTCAGGATCTGTTACTCAGAAGTTCCCACATCATGTGCATCACCGGTGACTGTGTGAGCCAGGGGGCTGAGGTGGAAAATCCTGCGTCTCCAAAATGCTGTCTAGTTAATTGCAATTGCCAAATCAGACTCCCTCAATCAAGATGTGCTGAATGAGTCTTAAGGATCTGCTCCTGCTCCCAGGACTGGAAACTTCAGAGACAGATGCTGAGGCTTTGGGATTTGTGTCTGGTTGTGGTGCCAACCCTCGAGTCCCTGATCCTGTCACTCAAATGCACTGCGGCAGGGAAGAGGAAGCAGGAAGTAGGCTGGGGAGAGGGCAGAAGAACTTCTCACTGGAAAGTTCTGAGAAGCATTAACTCTAGGACATGATGCTGGCTAAATAATCTCAGTCTCTGCATCCTCAGCTTCAAGGGGGGAGGATAACAGTGACTGCCTGTGAGGACTACAGATGAGTCAGCAAACCAAGAGCTCAATGACTCCTCCAGGGAGGCAGGAAAGAGCAAGGAATCAGACCATGTGGGTAGGAGTCACGAGAGGCCTGGGTGAAAATCCTGGCTCTGCCCCAGACCAGCTGTGTGACCTTGGGCAGGTGTTGCCACCTCTCTGATCATCTACAGGATGGGGGCAGTGGTGGCTCACAGCGTTGCTGCAAGGATGAAAAAAGGTGCATGTAGAGTTATGCTTGACAATGGCGAGGGCCATGTTCATTGTTATTACTGTGGAAGATGAGGGGAGGGTGTTGGGGAAATGGTGTGTGAATGGCAGGGACAGGGGCGGGGTGAGCAGAGGATGGGGTGGGAGTCCTCCCCCAGGAAGCTCTCACTCATCCAGCCCACCCACCCACGCAGCTTCCTGATCGGAGAAGATGGGCACGTGTACGAAGGCCGAGGTTGGAACATCAAGGGCGCCCACGCAGGTCGCACCTGGAACCCCATATCCATAGGCATCTCCTTCATGGGCAACTATATGAGTAAGTGACTTGTCCAGCCCGCAGGCTGACTTGGAGCTCGGGGGGTGACACAGCATGGTGTGTAGTCAGTGGGAGGCTCTGCCACCTATAAGCTCTGTGACCTCGGGCGAGTGACTGCTTCTCTGAGCCTTGTTTCTCCTTTGGGTAAAGGCCATTTTCAGTTGCACAGCTTCAGTGAAGCTCAGTCCATGGCACCTAAGAAGTGTCTGGTAAATGACAGCTAGCTATTGGGCAACTCTAGGCAGGTGCTGTCATTCTCCTCTTTCACAGATGAGGAATCTGAGGCACAGAGAGGTTAAGTCACTGCTTGGCAGTGGCAGACCGGGTTCTGGGCCCTAGGGGGCCAGCTCGGAGTGCACAATCAGAAGCACTACCCCACACTACCTCTGCCCTTGCAGGATGCCCCAGCCTAACCCCTACTTCTACCCTCCCCCAGATCGAGTGCCCCCGCCCCGCGCCCTCAGGGCAGCCCAGACTCTGCTGGCTTGTGGTGTGGCTCTGGGAGCCCTGAGATCCAACTATGAGGTCAAAGGACACCGGGATGTGCAGCCGACCCTCTCTCCAGGTGACCGGCTCTATGAAATCATCCAGACTTGGTCACACTACCGCGCATGAGGCCCTCTCCGGCTCGGCACACCGCTCCCATCCCCACTCTGTCAGAAACCCCACTGCCTCCCCCTCCCCCAATAAAGGTGAAGCTCAAACTGTATTCCCATGTCCCTTGCCCTCCCTCCCTCTCAGAAGACCCCAGCCACCGCAGCCCCATCCTCTTAGCATCCAGTCCTCTCTGGTGCTCAGAACCCAGAGGCCCCCTGAACCAAGACCCCAGAGATTCCAGCTTGGAAGTAACATCACAGCTCAGAACCCAGAGGTCTCAGGTCAGAGCGCAGGTATTAGCACCAAGTCGGCCGACAGGTCACAAAAAGCAGTTCAGGGGTCCCTCAGCTGCTGGGCAGTGAACCATGCTGGAGGACACCCCCCCTCCACCACACCGCCAAAGACATCCTGTGCAGCATCTCTGCTTGGGCTGCCTGGGGATGAGCTGATGACTCCTATCCCTCAGGTCCCCCCTCCTTTCGTTGCTTTCGAGAGTGCAGGAGTTTTCCCTTAGAGCCTGTACCCCAATCTGCCTCCCAGTCACAGACAAGTTCAGAAGTACACACAGGTCTCAGTTACCTCTCACCCAAGCTTCACTTCTCCCCACTCCACCCCCACCCTTCAGTCATAAGCTGAGGGATCCCGAGGGCAAATACGTTTATTTACAAAATGCACATACCCACCCTCCCAGCCTGCAATGCCTGCGGGAGAGGGAGGGGTCAAGGTCACACACACCCGAGACCTCTTGAGCACCAGGAGGGGCAGGGATCTGGGCGGGGCCAGGACACACCGGCCCCACCCCGCGCCGAAGCCAGCGGTGGGTGGGGCTGGAGGGGCAGTACTTCTCCGAGGTCACGACCGCGTGTCCAGTCGGTTCATGTATTCCTGCAAGGCCTTCAGGCGGGCGTCTATTTCGGCCATGTCAGCTGCCTGGTGGTCGGAGCTGTACTCTGCGAGAGCAGGCGTTGGGTTCGGGGGGGTCTGTGCGGGGCCTGAAGCCGCAGGGAGCTACGGAGCCCAATATGCCGCCCTCAGTACCATCCCGCAGGCTCTTGGGCAGGTGAGGGGGAGATGTGGAGGCCCAGGCTCACCTTTGATGGGGACCCAGCCCCCTGAATTGGCCAGGCGTCTCCGATGGTGGCCGCGTTCCAAGGGGGTGGACTTCTGCTGCTGGGGGTGGCAGGAAAGGGGATAAGGCACCCTCTATTCCAGCCCCCCAGATCCCACCGGAAATTCTCAACCAAAGGACCACATAAAAAATGAGTTGATCTCTACCGGGCACTTATATGCACAATAACCTCCTTGTATCTTCACCAGAACCCGCTGAGGTGAATGCTATAACCATGCCCATTTAACTGATAAAGAAACTGAGATACAGAAGCTAAGTAATAACCTTAAGTCACACAGGTTACAGGAAGGGGAGCCAGGTTTTAAGACCCAGGAACTTGAGGCCAGAGCCGGTGCTCTTAACTGGCGTCCTCTGCCCCCACCCATCCTCCCTTCCAATCCAAAGGTCTCAAAACACTGCCTCCAGAGGCATTTCGAGGCCACCTCTACAACCTGATCCCCTAGCATGGAATCATGGGAGAAAGGGACAGAGAGCTCCTGGTGGTTCAATGCTAGCCGTCTAGTCCAAAGCCTGAGGAAAGGCACTCACCGTGTTGGACCCACTCCAGGTTGTGGGGCTGGGAGGCTTCCCACGGCAGCGAACGCTGAGAGGAGGAAGTAATCAAGGACCAGTGGGAGGAGACTGTGGCACCTGCCACCTCTCCCTCTTCCCTAGTTTCAAGGCTCCAGCCTCTATCACCCAATTTCTCTACAAAAGGCTGTTTCCAGTCTTCCCTGACACCCGTTTGCAGGCCATCCCTTCCCCTAGTCCATGTTTTACCCTCTAGGGAGGGATTCAGAGAAATCCTCGAATTCGCTGCAGGAGCTGGCGGAGGAGCAGCGGCTGCGGAAACTGTCCACTAGAGGGAGAAGGAGAGTGTGAGCCTCTCGCTCTTGCCAGTCCCTCCAGACGGCCTGCCAGCCCCGAGCACTCCAGTCCAGTTACCGGAGGAGCTGCGGTTTCGGGAGCGGTTAGCCGCGTCTCCTCGGCCGGTCACGGCAGCAGAAGGCCGAGTCTGGCGAGACCAGGAGATGGATGGACCGTCACCGCTTCCTCCGCTGCCCAGTCGGTTCCGCTGCTGCTGCTGCTGCTGCCTAGGGAACGTGAAAGGAGCCGCCCACCTATTTGCCCAACTAATTCAGGGAAGGGCGTCGCTGCGGGAGCAGGTAGGGGAAAGGGGAGAGATGGAGCAGGTGACAGGTAATGGAGATGGGAAATGGGGATGGATGAGGCCAGAGGTCAGAGGGTCAGGTAAAGGGGCAGGGATGTGGGTAGGTGAAGAGGGAATGGGTGCTAACTTCATCTTGATCTCTCTCTGCTTCTTCTCCTTGGCTTTCACAAAGGCTGTTGGGTCGAAACGGGGCACGCGACCACCTAGGACCGGGCGGGGGGTGTGGAGAGAAGAGGAGGCTGGAGTCACAGGATCACGCCTCCAGAGTTCCATTCCCATCCACCTCCTCCCACCAGCAGGGCAGGGCTGTCACAGACCTGTAGGCGAGGGCGAGGGGCGGGCAGGGCGGCCTCGACCCCGGCCCCCGCGGGCACTCTCCCGGGATGAGGAGCGGGCGGCGCCACGGCCACGCGACGTGGAGCGCTCCCGAGACGTCGAAGCCCGATCCTCCCGGGCTGAAGGCTGCACCACCGGCGGAGTCCGTCTCCTGGGATCACAGAACCCACTGCTGGTTTCCCACCGGCGACAACAACTCCTTTCCTTAGCCTCTTCCCAGACCGCACCATCTCCGAACCTTCAGGCTCATCTCCCATCAACTCCTAGCCATTAACATCCTCACACGCGACTCTCACAGAAACCTCCCAAAGTCCACCTCTCTCGGAGCCCCACTAAAACCCCCAAATAACCCATCTGTCACTTCCCTACATCCTAACACACTTTCACCTGACCCTTCTCACAGAGATCTTCCACAGTTCCCTGGAAACCCCTTCCTAATTTTTCAACACCCACCCCAATCAACGCCAGCAAACATAACCCAGATCCCCACCTACTGAGCCACGCCCTTTGACTTAACTAGACCTCAGGCCCCGCCCCTTTCTGGTCCCTATCTCCATGTCCACACTCTTGAATGCCGCCGCAGGCCGGCCCGTCTCTCTACAGACTCCTCCCATCGTTTTCAATTATTGAGTCCTTCCCTAAGCCCCATGCCGCCCATTAGGCCCCTTTCATCCCTCCATCCCCGCCCACTCCCAGGCTTCACCCGCCCTCCTCTACATCCTACCCGGCCCCGCCCCGTCACCTAGACCCCGCCCATTCACCTCCAGGCCCCGCCCACCCCGGGCCGCGCCGCTCACCCTCTCTTGTACATGGCCAGCTCGGCGTTCAGCGTCTTCAGCCGGGCACGCAGGCTCCGCTCCGACGCCTTCACCTCCTCGAGCTGCCGGGAGGGAAGCGGAGCGTAGAGATCCAGACTGAAGTCCAGGTTAGTGCCCTGCCGGCCTCCCAGCCGCCCAGCCCGGCCCCCTCACCTCCTTGGCTAGCCGGCGGCAATCCTGGCTCCGGCGGCCGGCCCCGCGGTGCCCGAGGCCGCGCTCTTGCCGCAGCTCCAGCTCCAGGCCGCGCACGAGCCCGCGCAGTGACTCGATCTCCTGGCGCGCCGCTCGCCCAGCCAGCGCCTCTTCGCGCGATCGGCCCAACTGGGCCTCCAACTCGCGCTTTTCAGACACCAAGCGCGACACCCTGGAAGGAGGTAGAGGGAAGACAGCGAGAGCTGGGGCAGGGTGAGGGGCACGGTCCCATATCCTCACTCCTCCACCGGGGCGGGAACGCACCATCTCTTGATCGGTAATTAGAGAAGTGCGTATGAAGAGAGCCCACCAAGAGAGGCTGGGCTGATGGGAATTTTATAAAACAGGGATCCAGCTCTCAGCAACCAAACTCATCAGTTCCAACACCACCTGACAGTAGGCAAATACACAGCACCACCGAGTTAGGTGTCATCCCAGAAGCCTGAATCTGATTAGCCTGAATCTGAACCACTTCACAGTAAATACAGGGGACACGTGAATACATGAACCATGGAGACAAAATGAACAAAATCCACACTGTGGGAAACTGTACAGGACAAATAACCTGGCTTCTTTCGCAAAGAAGTAGCATGAAAAATGGCGGGGGGGGATGTAATAAAGAGATTTAAGAAACACAACAAATTGCAACGTGGGTCATATGTGGGTACTTATTCACACAAGACAATTACAAAAAGATATCTGTGAGATAACCAGAGAGGTGTCAACATATACACCCTGGGTGTATCAGATGATACGAAGGAATTTTTGTTAATTTTGTTGGATATAATAACAGTACTTATATTTCTTTAAAAGACCCCCTTATATGTTAAAGATACATATTGAAGTGTTTACAGAGGAGATACAATATCTGGGATTTGCTTCTCAGGAGAGAGGAAAGGATGTAGATCAAACAAGATGGGCAAAAATGTAGGCAACCGCTGAAGCTGGGGCGCAAGTATATGTACATTATACTACTGTCTACTTTAGTGTGTTCCTGGAATTTTTCCTAATAAAACATTTTTTAAAATCTGTGTCTCCCCCACACTCCCCAAGGAGCGTCCCCATTCTGTCCCTTTCAGCTGACTTCCCCTCTCTCCTCCCCTCCTCCCACCTCCTTCTCTCTGGTGCTCTTTGCAAATGCAGTTCTCTCCTCCTCCTCCTGGCAGGAATGACTCCATTCATCCTTTAAACATCACATCCCTGTTCCCCAGGGAAGTCTGCCTGCCCCCCAGCTAGGCTAGGTCACTCCCTTCTGTTTCCTGCTCTCCTGCCTCAATGTACATTTCCTTCCCAGCACCAATCATGGTGGAGCTGGCACTGATGGGTGTGATTATCTGTTCTCTCTCTGCATCCTCACTCTAGCTGTCTGGTCACTATGTAGGAACCCAGGCTCTGTGCCCAGGCTGACGGCGCCCAGCTTATACCACTTATTACAAGCTGGGTGACCTGGGACAATTTCACTTCACATCTCTGTGAAGTGGGATGATAATAATAACACCTACCTATAAGGTTGTAGGAATCTATTAAGAGTGCTAAGATTCTGTCCGGCACTCAGTAACGGCTCAATAAACATCAACTAGGGCCAGGCAGTGTGCCTAGCACACAGTGTGAACTCAGTAAATGTTGGATGGATGAATGAATGAATCTTGAAGTCTTCCCAAACTCCAAGATTGGAAGAGGAAAGTAAGAAGCAACCGAATGATTATGGATTTCAGTGCAGGCAACGCCACCTCGTGGCCATCCTGGGTAACACATGCACTAACGCACCCACGCAAACGCACCGGGAAGACTCAAAAGGTTCTCCGTTCTCCAGCCCCATGCGCTCCCGTTCCTGGGAGGGCATAAGTCTGGTCTTCCCTGTCAGCACTGGGTGCTCAGTTGTGGGCCAGCAGCTGCCAACAGTGCACAGTGGCTGAGGAACGAAAGGGGGCTTGTGCTGACTGCCTGGATTCAAGATCTAGCCTGGCCGTATTACTTCACTGTGGAACCTGGGGCAAGTTCTCCTGGGCCGCAGTTTCTTCCTCTATAAAATAGGGACGATAGTAGTGCCTACTCTGTGAGGATAAAATGAATTAAACCATGCAGCACTGAGCAGTCCTTGGCACACAGTTAAATGCACAATAAACATTAGCTTCTACTATTATTATTATTACTAAAAATAGTATTAGCCCTCTCCAAGGAGTGGAGCCCCCTTCAGGTGGAGGCCAAGTCCCAGTCAGCCCCTCCATAGCACTCTGCACACAGCAGGCACTCAATAAATATGCCAAGAGCCCTTCCTCACTTCACTCCTCATCGTCCTCACTATATTCCCATCTAATGCAAGGCCTTTGCACATGCTATTCCCTCTGCCTAGAACACTCTTCCCCACCCCTTCACCTGGCCCACTCTGAGACCCCATCAGTTCCTGTTCCCACCTCCCATAGCACAGGCTCCGTTTCCTGTCTAACCCATCTCCATTTGCAATGCTACACTGGGTTATGTGATCAGTGTCTATGTGGCCCCTGGGCTGGCCCTACACGATGGGCAGGGAAGGCGCCAGCACAAAAGAGGTGCTCAGTGAAGGTAGATTCAACTGAATGTAGCCCTACCTCACACCCTGTCTTTGCACATGGTGTTCCCTTTACCTAGAACACCCTTCCCTTACCAGGCACGGTCAACTCTCCTTCTGGGCTCCCAAGCACCAACCATGGTGAGTCTTCACTGTCTGCATACAGATCTGTTCCAGACTGGGAGCCCCAAGGAGGGCAGGGCCAGGATTGCCTTGGTCACTGCTGTGCCCCCAGCACCACTTAACACAAAGCGGGCACAGGATAAATATCTGGCGAATGAGGGATGGCTGTCCTTCCAACAGGGCTAAGCACTGGGCCCTCAGTGCATGATGGGATGTGTGCCCCCGGCCCCAACCGCCCATTCACCCCACCCTGGACTCACTGCTCCCGCAGGTGCCAGATCTCAGTCTCCCGGCTGTCCCGAGTGTCCTGGCCGTCCAGCCCTCGAAGGCGGCCCAGCTCCTCCTTCAATGAACGGATGATGCCCTGCAGGACCACCGGGTCTGGCTTGCCCTGGTACGGGAGGGGCAGCGGGTAGTGAATCCTGAGAAGGAGGATTAGAACCGTGGCATCTCAGAGGCCAAGAATCCTTCTGGGAAAGGACATATGAACATTTTTGGCCAAACACTGAAGGAAATCTGTTGGGCATCTTCTGGGAACACTTTTGCTATCCTAATAAAAACAGTAGATACAATTAGCGAGAACAGCCCTGTTCCTCTTCCTCCTGCTTTGAAGCAGATGCTACGCCTGGACGTCCAGCAACCATTTTGTGGCCATGAAGAGGTAAGGATGACGTCAAAAAGCCAACACATTAAGGATGATGAAAGAAAAACAAAAACAAAAGGAGCCTGAGTCCTTAATGAAACTGTTGAGTAGCAGCCACCAACCTAGACAACTTGTTATGTGATAAACCATTGTTTGTTTAAGACACTGGTAGCTGTTACCATGCTACTTGTACTCAAACACAATACTAAGTGATATAAACCTTAACACTGAAGATTCCAAAGGCAAGGCTTAAGCAACATCCCCACCTCGCCCTGGGTACCTGGGGTTCCTAAGTCCTATCCATTCTCTCCCACCTGCCCGCCAGCTACCAGCCTGGACCTGGAGCCATCCCCTTGTACCCACCTGTCAAACTCCACAGAGTAGATGAGGATCAGGTAGCGCTTGGAGTTGAGCTGGGCCGATCTTGAGGCCAAGGGGCCTGGGCGGCCCCCCATCTTTCGGTTCCGCAGGGACTCCAGATCTGTGTAGGTCAGCAGGTCAAGGGTGACCGACTCACTGCTCTGTTGGGAGAGAGTAGGAGGAGTCGCCACAAGACCCAGCATGGCCATACCCAGAGCACCCAGCCCACACACTCCATTCATTCTGTGGGCTGCTGGGCTTTCCGACACTGAGGCTGGTGATCAAGATGTCCCTGCCCCATAGGGGCTGGCACAGGACATCATCGGAAGGAGACTGAAAAGAGCCTAAATGTTTAAGCACGGGGAATGGCTTAGTGCTGTGGCTTCCGAGTATTGTCCGAGGACCCTGACAGTCCCTGACACCCTTTCAGAGGAGTCCATGAGATCAGTACTAAGATGTCATCTGCCCCTCTTTTTTTCTCCCCTTAATGGAGGCACTGGGGATTGAACCCAGGACCTCGTGCATGCAAAGCACACGCTCTATCACTGAGCTATACCCCCGACCCTCATTTGCTTCTTTTGCTGTGCTGACATTTACACCAATGGTGCAAAAGTCCTGGTGGGTAGAACTGCTGGTGCCCACAAGCAGAAAGCAAGCCAGTGGCATCAAAGGTACTTATAGACATTGTATTCACAGCCATGCAGTGGGGCTGGGAAGGAGGGAGAAACAAACACACAAATAAATAGATAAAAGACACAGAGAATGAAGCCTAGGAATGTTCTTGATGAACCTGTAAAAATGATTCATTTTATTGAATCTTGACCGTTGAGTACACAGATTTTTACGACTGTGTGTGACAAAATGCAAAGTACACGTTGGGCCACATACCAAAGTATGACATTTTCTCAGGAAAAGCACTTGTGCAACTGAATTTTGAGCTAAATTAGCCACTTTTTCATGGAACACTATTTTTTTACTTGAAAAAGGACTGACAGACAACACTATGGTTATTCAGTCTGGGATGTTTGGCAAGCATTTTCTCCAAAATGAACAAAGTGAGCCTGTCACTTCAAGAAAAACAGCTCACGATACTGGCTGCCAACAAGAAAATTCAAACTTCAAAGCGAAAATTAGAATTTTGGAAAACTTGTCTCTGTCACTGTGTGCTTGATGCCTTCTCAATGTTGAAAGACTTCCTGGGTCATGTCGGTGAGAATCTTAACAAATGTGACTTCCTGGTATTGTACAATGAAATGTGTCAACTTTTGGAAGATCTGCACAACTCAGTGAACCAACATTTTCCAAATGACCAACCCATGGTGTTACAAATGGTGTTACAAATGCGTGATGTTACAAAATGGCTAAGAGATCCAGGCAAAGTACATCAAGAGATTTTAAGGTCACAAAATAGGAAAAGTCCATTGATATGGTCTCACACTCCACATTACAACAAACCTTTAAGAAACTACCACATGTCCAGTTTTAATGTGTTAGCAAAGGAGGATATACTCGATTATCTGAAAAAGCTATTAAAGGACTCTCTTTCCCAACTACAGATCTTTCTTAGGCAGATTTTTTTTCTGCATGTACTTCAACCAGAACATATCACAACAGACTGAATGCAGAAGCACATGAGAATCTAGCTGTTTTCTATTAAGCCAGACATTAAAGAGACTTGCAAAGAGTTAAAAAAAAAAAAAGGCTGTTATATTTCTTACTAAATAATTCTGTTTTAGAAAATATATTTTTCATAAAAATGTTATTTAAGTTAACATATAACAGGTTTGGGGTGTGGAGGGGTGAGTGTAGTTCAGTGGTAGAGCATATGCTTAGCATGTATGAGATCCTGGGTTCAATCCCCAGTACCTCCATTAAAAAAATAAATAAGTAAAACAAACAAATTTAAAAAAAAATAACAGGTTTGCTATTGTTATTTTTAAATGAATTCATAAATATCTTTATATTTTCGGTTTTCATTTAGAACATGGCAAACAAATATTGATAGATGAAATCTGCGTAAACAAAAACTCTTTGGTGTCATCGGTAATTTTTAAGAGCATAAGGGGTCCTGAGGCCAAAAAGTTTGAGATCCACTGTGTTAAATAAATCATAATGCATGGGCACAGTAGAATACTAGGCAACCACTAACAAGGATAACAAACTCAGAAGTTGTAATAATAATAAAAATAGACAATACATGTATATTATGAGCCAGGCACTAGTCTGAGCTTTTTACCTGTAACTCATTTAATCTTCACAACACTATGAAATGGGGACTACTATCATCCTCATAGCACAGATAGGGAAACTAAGACATGGAGGGGAAGTAAGTGGCCCAGGGCTTCCAAGTAGTAAGTGGTAGCGATAAGTCTGACTTGAGTCCATGCTCTTGGCCATTGCGCTGTTATATACATACAGCCCATTATACCTAGAGATACCAAAATGTTAACAGTCTTGGATGGGAGACAGTAAGGGATTTAGACTCTCACCTTCTCAGTCACACATTACTTTAGTATCATCACAGTTTTGTGAGTGCATATTTCATCTGTAATCAGAGAAATTACATAGTTCACAATTTTTAAATGTCTAAATAGAAACTCTGTCACTCTAAATTCCAATCTGCTTTTTTTTTCCTATTAATACTTTTAACTACTTGACATTATATATTTTTTTCAATTGTCTGTCTCTTCCACTAGAATATCAGCTTCACCAGGGCAGGAATTTTGTCTCTTGTTCAACGCTGTATTCCCTGTGCCTACCACAGTGCCTGGCACAACATAGATGCTTAGTAAATGAGATGAATGATTAGCTGTACTCATTGATGTGACTAAATTTTTATGAAATATTGTTTGTTTTATCTTTTTTTTGGTAAGGGGAGGTAATTAGGTTTATTTATTTATTCATTTTTAGAGGAGGTACTGGGGATTGAACCCAGGACCTCATGCATGCTGAGCATATGCTCTACCACTTGAGCTAAACCCTACCCCCACTGAAATATTGCTGAATCTTTTAAAAGCAGATTACAGAATTCCTTAGGAAATATATCAACTTTATCTATAAAATTATAGATCTGCACATACATACATACACACACATTCACAAGTGAATAGGGAAATGGAGAAATGGCTGGAGTGATTTTCATTACAATATTAACAAAATATTACCAGGAGTATTAGGAATGGAGTGATTTTTACTTTCTTCTTTACATTTCTCTGTGACTTAAATTTTCTACATGAGAATCACTGTCATTTGAATTACGATCAGAATAAGCCATTTACCTTTGAGGAAGAAGAAAAGACAAAGATAGCCTTGTTCCTCCAATGAAAGACAAGGCAGAGGGTCTTGCATACATCAGGTGGGTATCTACCCTCCCAGAGATTCAGGAAACAGAAACCTCCCCCAGCCCCCAGCCCTGGCCCCTACCTGGGTGAGGGCTGACTCCAGCATGTTACAGAAGATGTTGAACTGTTTGAAGTTCCCTGTCTTGTGAGTCAAATCTTCGATGACTAGGTAGGGAGAAAAGTCCTTCCTGAGGTTTGACCACTTGCCCAACCCAAGGGCAATTCACCCAAGCTTTCCCACTTTCCCCAATACCACTGCCTCTGGCCCGAGGAATGAGCCATATACCCCCTCCCCACCTTAGAGAGCCTCTGGTCAGGTAGAAGAGGCAGATGGACAGGATCCTGGTTGGTCTCATCTTCTGGGAGAAGCTGATCCCAGGGAAGGACAGGAGAGCCCACCCAGACAGGCACACTCACAGCTGGCATCGAACTCGCCTCGCCACTGGTCGGCCGTCATCCGGTCCTCCACCTCCAGCTCTAGCACCTGCCCAGATACCATCACCCGCACAGCATGCTCCACACCCCGGAAGATGTAGTCCACCTGCAGGCCGGCTGGCTGGTCCATGGCCAGTGTCGCTGAGAGGAATGAGACAGAGACTCAGAGGGGCTCAGAGGAGCTGAAAGGCCAGAATCCTGGTTCCACCATGTATCAGCTGTGTTACCTTAGGAAAGAGGCTTTGCCTCTCTGTGCCTCAGTTTCCTCATCTGAAAAAATGGGTATAGTAATGGCACCTACCTCATAGAGCTGTCGTGAGGATTAAATTGGACAATATGCATAAAAGCACTCAGAACTGTGTCCTGCACATTACTATGCCTAATACACACTGGTTCATAGAATATAATTTCCAATAAGAGAATCATAATTTCTACTACTGATTATTAATTTATTCATCCTTATACTCATTATAGATTAATTATTCATTCATTTATTCAAACACTTCTGGAGAAAAGTCAAACTGGAAAGGGAAACAGAGTATTGTGATCAAGTGGGGCAGAGATTTTAAATAGGGGGTCAAGGGCAGGCCTCCCCATGGAGGTGACATTTGGGCAGAGAACTGAAGGAGGTCAGGGAACAAGTCATGTGCTATCCTGAGGGAAAGTGGTCCAAGTGGAGCGAACAGCCAGTGTATGGATAACATATTATCCATGGTACATTTAAATCATTTAAATGAATTAATAATTGATCTATTCATTGGTCTGTTGCAAGCGTAAGTACTTTCTCTTAGCCAATAGGACTACTACTCATTGTTAGTTCTACGAGGAGCTGGAGGAGAGGGTCAGGTGTTCACTCTCAGCCTGGATTCTAGGGAGTGGTTCAGAATGGGAGCCCCAGGCTGCTTGGGTTCAGCTCTGTGCACATATGTGGGCAAGGAACTTAACCTCTCTTGGAGCCAGATTCCTTATCTTTAAAGCACATGCCATCCTGGGTGCTGGGGATATGATGAGAAATCAGATTATGTCCCTACCCTCAGGAGGGTGACAACAAAGGGTAGAGTACAGCTCAACTGGTAAAGCACATGCTTAGCATGCATGAGGTCCTGGGATCAATCCCCAGTACCTCCATCAAAAATAAATACATAAATAAACTTAATAACCCCCCCAAATTATTTTTAAATAAATAAAAAGAGGGCAGTAACAGTTAGAGGCATAAAAATGTCAAGTAGTGGAGAAAGAGAATGCTAGGGGTTGGGGGTTGCTCTTTTGGCTAAAGTGGCCAAGGAAGCCCCACCCCGACACTGCCGGGAGCAGAGGCCTAGGGGGAGTGAGTGAGGGAGACAGATGAATATCTGGGGAAGGGTATTCAGGCAAGGGAACAGCCTGGCAAAGGCTCCAACGTGGGATGTTTCTAGTTTTTTTCAGAAACAGCAAGGAGGTCAGGGTGAGGGAAGGAGAGGGGGAAATTGAGGAGATCAGAGATGTAACGGGCCAGATGATGTTCCTGCAGACCTTTGTAAGCCCATAGGAGGATAACAGCGTTCATCTCCTTGGATTGGTGTAAGGATTAAATGAATTAATCATGTCAAAATCCTTGGCGAAATTGACCCATGCCTGACACACAGCCACACAGCAAACACTCAGTACGTAACAGCATCATCATTTTTTTTAATTGAAATATAGTTGATGTACAACAGGATGTTAGTTTCAGGTGTATTACACAGTGACTTGATACTTGCATACATTATGAAATGCTCATCACAGTCAGTCTAGTAACCATCTATCCCCATGCAGAGTTATTCCAATATTATTGACCAGATTATGTGGCTTATTTTTTTTCTAACTGGAGGTTGGTACCTCTTAATTCCCTTCATCTATTTCATCCCCACATCCAATCATCATTGTTCTTGTTACTATTACTTTGTTGTTGTTTCTGAGCTTGAAAGGGGCTATAGAGACAAGTCAAGCCCAATCCCTCCCCAGTGTACAAATGGGGAAACTGAGGCTCCATAAGAAAAAGGGCCCTGTCCAGAGTCCCACAGCTACTCCAAAGACAGAACCACCCAGGGCTGTCCCTAACCCAGACCACGAGGACCCCTCCAGTGCTTGATCTCATTCTCTCCCCATCACCTCTTTCAGTCCTCACACTTTTCCCAATTAGTCCTTCCTAAAGTCTGATATTGGAAAATACAATATTGTGAGAAAAAGATGAGCCCTGAAACTCCAGGTCAGTGATTTCTAACCTTTTTAGAGTCCTTGCACCTTTGAGAATCTTAGATCTCCGATCCTTTCCCAGATAAATAAATGAATAGGCCCATAACCTTTGCAAGTAATTTCAGGGTCTCCCAGAATATCACCCAACAGGTGCACCCACAGATCCCCTTTCTCAAAAGCCCAAAGACAAGCGCCTGAACCCCAGACGTGCTAACAGGCCCCTTTCTACCTCTAGACCCAAGCTCTTAACTTTATTTGGGGGATGGGTCTCTGGTGCTTTGCAGGGGCTAACGAAATCTGGGAAATCCTTTCCCTCGGAAAATTCACTCTCACAATTGTACTTTCGTTTCCTGGGGCTTCAAACGTGAGGGTTAATCATTCCTGAACTATGGGCAAACAAACAGCTACACATTTCAACATATCCCTCATCAACCGCCCCCAACGCGCGTGCCAGGCAGCGCTGGCACCGCCCCACCGGGTGTCCTACACTCCGCCCCTCAGACGCCGCAAGCCAATCAGCGGTCGCGCCCTCCCGATTACCAAGGAGTCAGAGGCAGCGCGGGAACACCGGAAGCGCCACACTGCCTCACCGCCCCATTCACCACCCTACTTGTGGTACCAGCTCTCCCGAGGAGACAGAGGAGGAAGGGGACCCGCCCCACCCATCACCACTACCAACCTGGCCCTATCCTCCCCCTTCCCCACTCTGCCACACAAGCCTCGCATTCATAGCCCTTCCCTAGGTAGCAGGGCCTTTCTGCATCCAACGGCCCTGATGACACAGCCCCACCTCAGTCCCCACATATTAAGCCCCTGAATATTCTGCCTGAATTCAACCCTCCCCTTACACTTGCCTCCCTCACCTGTAAAAACTTGGCCCGCTCCCCTCCTCTCCTCTTCTAGACCACATAAATCGCACACTCCCGCCAGCTCAACTCTCCCTTCCTGACCCCAGCTCCCCGTCACTCAATTCCCTAGATAGCCTCGAGATTCTAGCCACTCCCAGCCCCCCATGTTCTAGTGGGGTCCTCTCATATTCTACTTGAATTTTGCGTCCCCCACACTATTCCACCTGAATTCTGTCCGCAATTTGCCCAACATTCTACTTCATACACACCCCATTTTCAGCCTGTATTCCATAACCCTCATATTTCACCTGAATTCTGTTCCCTCTCAAATTCTGTGTAAACTCCCTCTCCCCCGACCCCGCCACTGACACATTTTCCACCTCTCTTCCCTTCGGAGAGCCTTCCCTGAATACTAACCTCCCTAATTCTGGGATTCTCCAGGACCAAGCTCCTCCCTCCGTCCTTCAAGCACCTGCCCCCAAACGCCAACTCTGTCCTTCTACCTGCGTCCTCCATCCTTGCTCTGTGACTCCAACCATTGCTCTGTGACCTTCGACCAGTGACCCATCATGGTCTCTGTCTTGTTCCAGTCCCAAGTCTCTCCTAGATACTTCGCCTCAGCTTCTCGACCCCGCATCCCAGCCGGGATGCCGTGCCTCCGAGGCTCCGCCCTCGCTAACCCGTGACATCAGCACTTCCACCTTGAGCGCTCCGCGTGTACACCCCAGCGCCCCACTCTGGTCCACAGACCTGACTCCACTTCTCGCGCCTCATGACATCATGGCTTCAGCACACAAGCACACACACTCAGTTTTCCAGCCCCCTCCTCACCCCCATCTATCACGGAGGGGATTCCCCTCTCCATTTCCAGTGTGTTATCACCGGCCCCAGCTCCTCCTCCCAAACTGTGCTCCCTGAATATTTCAGATTTCACAGCCTTTACAGCAGGGCCAGGGCTGACAATCCACCACGCTGGGCTCCTCCCAAATAAATCCACATCACCATCTCCCACACTAGACATGGGTAAGTCCCCCGTGGCAGCTCCCACCTCTGATGGTTTGTTTCCCACGATCTGCCACCCCACCACGGCCCACACTGCATATTCCAGGCGGCCATGACCTAGCAGGACTCTCCAATGCGGTGTACTCCTCACCACACACACACACACACACACACACACACACACACACCGCCTACGACCAAGTCGTACCTTCCTTCTACGACCGCCCCTCTATTCTGACGCCTCCACCCCTCCCCCAACCTAGTTGGGTTGGGGGTTAAGTAAACTTAACCTTAAA